TGGCCAGCTCACTCTGTGGCTTTTGGACCTGTAACAAGGCAGAACATCATGGCAGGGAGTATTTGGCGAAGCAAAGCTGCTCCCCTCAAGTTGACTTGGAAGCAAAGGGAAAGAATAAAGTGTTGGGGTCCCAATACGTCTTTCAAGGGCATATCCCTAATACATAATTTCCTTCCTTTAGGTCCCATCCCTTAAAGGTTCTACCAGCTTCCAATAGTGCCTCAGGCTGGCAACCAATCTTACAATTCATGGCTTTTGGAGGACATTTAAGATCCAACTTATGGTATTCCACCTTTGGTACCCAAAGGCTCATGTCCATCTCTGAATATGAAATGCATTCAATTCATTTCCAAGAGTCCCCAAAGTCTTAGCCATTCAGCATTATTTAAAAGTTCAAGTCCAGGGGCTGGGGATGCGGCTCAGTGGTAGAGTGCTCACTTAGCATGCATGAGGCACTGGGTTGGATCCTTAGCACCACATAAAAATAAAGATATTGTGTCCACCTAAAACTAAAAAATAAATATTAAAAAAAATGTTAAAAAAAAGTCTAAGTCCAAAGTCTCCTCTGAGACTCAGGCAAACTCTTAGCTATGAGTCCCTGAAAAAAAATCAAAAAATAAGTTACATATTTCCAAGATACAGTGACACAATTTAAACGTTCCTACTCCAAAAAGGAAGAACAGGAACACAGAAGGAGAAACTGGATCAAAGCAGACCAAAACCCATAGGGTAAAAATTAAATTCTGTATCCCCATGCCCAGCATCTGCAGTTCATAAAGGTATGATATGAGCCCCAAAGAACTTGGACAAGCCACCCCTATGACATTACCAACTGCAGCCCACATGCATTTCTCTTGGGCTAGTTCTGAACACCATCTTTAGCTTCTCTTGGCAGGCATCCCACATTCTTGACATCTCTGACTTCCTGGGGTCTTCACTGTGGTTTCAGCTTTACTGTCATAGCTTCATGCATCGCCCTCTCAGGGGCTACCTGAAGGAACTCTGACCCTTCCACACATTGCCTGGCCTCCCAGGCTTTTCTTTGAAATGTTGGTAGAAGCTTCCATGACTCCACAACTCTTACAGTATGCATGGCTGCAAAACCAGCATCACATGCTGGACAATGCCATAGTTTGCCACAGGCTTGAGAAGTAGTCAGGTCCACCTGAACCATAGCTGCAGTGGCTTTGGAGTGCCTGGGTGGTTAAATATGAGAAAAAAATAAATCCTGGGGAAATAATTTCCTACTCAATTTTATGTCAGCAAGGCATCTTGGGCTTTCTTCTTAAACAAGTCTTTAAGCCTCTGATGGGTGCAGTCTTGCTGATTCCCAAGATGCCCTCAAGGCATCTTTCCTGTTGTCCTGGTGCAACCTTTCTAAAGGTGTTAATCTCTTTAGCAACTGTACCCTCCTTGGTTGCAACTTTAAATGTGCTCCTTTTTTTTGACTAATCTGGAGTTTTAAAAAATCTTTCCACTCTGCTTTTTGCTGCTGATTCTCACTATAAAAGTAGCTAGTCATATCCATACCATCACCTGCATGGTGTGCTGCCTTTACATTTTCTCTGCCAGATTAACTAGTCCATCCTTTTAACTCAGCTTCACACAAATCTCGGGTCATGGGCAAAATGCATACAAGTTCTTTGCCACACTGTAAAGAGTCTAATTCCCAACTAAGTCCTCATTCCTATCTGAAACCCCATTAACGTTTAAAGTCTGCATTCTTATCAGCATTCTGGTCTTCTGAATCCTCACCAGAATTACCCATTAAGCTCTGCTGACAGCATTCTCTATCCTGCTTCTCCAAATTTTTCAAACTCCCCCAACAAACCAATTCCACAGACTTCTGAATCACATGGTCAGGTATAGCCACAGCAATAATCCCACTTCTTAGTACCAATTTTCTAGGATAATCAGTTTTTCATTGCTGTGACAAAATAGCTGAGACGAACAGCTTATAAAAATGAAAGATTTATTGAGGCTTATGGTTTCAGAGGATTTGGTTCATAATCAGCTCACTCCATTGCTTTGGGGCTTGTGGCAAGGCAGAAGTTCATGATGGGGAACGTGGCTCACCTCATCCTATCTGGGAAGCAAAAAGGAGGAGGAAGGAGCTAAGGTTCCACTACTCCTTCAAGGACATGCCCCCATTGTCCTAACTTTCTTTTTGCTAGACCCCACCTCTTAGGTTTCATAATTCCTAACAGTACCACAGGCTGATGACCACATGGCCTTTGTGGACATCCAAGATCCAAACTATAGAAAATTCAATGCAAATTTCACTAACTTCAGTTCACAAAACATCTTTTATAGCTTGCTTTCTTTCTCTCTCTCTCTCTCTCCATTTGAGATTTATGGATTGCACTTGATGCCCCTTTAGATGTCTCAGGATGAAGAGATGTGACTTATGTGTGTTACTCTGCAATCTGGCACATATATAACATCATATACTAACAGAATCCAATGGAACTTTAGTAAGGGTGCTAAGGGTATTCCTACATTGCAAAGAACACAATTTTGGGGATTGGAATAAGATGAGTTAGTCATTGGTAAAGGCCATTAAACCGGTGTAAGTAGTCAGAATTTCCCTGTTTCATTTAGGACACACACAGAAAACAATATTTCCATGGCACAGTAAGGTAAACAGATGGGGTTCTTTGGCACTGAAGGTGACCTGCCTAGGGCTCCAGGTGTCTCAAGATCTATTTTTGTGATATTATGAGAAATGTTAGGACCAAGACTCTGGCAATTCTGTGGTTTCTGAGTTTGTGTCCCAGGATGTTCTGATCTCCAACCCCCATTGCTTTGGGTAAGCTGGTGTGTTTCTTCTGGAAAAAGCCTAGGCCAGGGTCTTGCTCTGTCTCTTTCCATCAACCACAAATGCCTATAACCCAGAAAAACAGAGACAAAGGTGGTATTTTTTTCATGTTATTTATTCAGTCAACTAGCTACATGAGGAGGGTAAACAAATTTATTGAGCTTTTTGGGGAGTCAGGGGAATAGGAAGGTGGTATTTAGACAGAACATAATTTTACAAATGGTTAAATGGAAGATTTACAAATATCCACGTTAAAAAAAATTGTCCTCTGAGGCTAACAGTGGAAGATAAAAATCATCATTAAGAAAATAAATAAGCCACTTCTGATCATTGCATTCCCCAAAACCAAAGTCTCCACAACTGGTTTTCATTTTAGACTGTCACAATTTGCAGATGCTTAGATGATGCAGATTTCCTACACAGAAAGACTAACACTGAGTGACAGATTAATACAATGAAGAAGGAAAATAGCTGTCATCTGCTAGCAAAAATAGATTTATGCTGATGTTAATATAAAAATTAAAGACATTCAAATAAATTATGCCAAAACATTGTAACTAATGCAACTAATGTATTCCTAAGATCATATGAACAACTTCTTATTGCTCCTACTCAAGACTAAAAGGTCTGAGGAATTCTACAACAGCTAGAGGCCATAATATAACTGGTAGGATATATGGTAGGCCTGAATGAGGGTCCAAGTGCCTGGTGAACACTTTATTATTTTTCTTTTAGGTTTAACCCATAGAACAAGGTCACTCATCAATCTGGAAACTTCAGATGAAGAAATGTGCTTGAGGCCCAGGTAAGTGATTTATTGGAAGCAATTAAAGCATTATATGAGAACAGCAGTATCCCAAATGAAGTCAACATTAAAAAAAAAATCAGTTTGTATTTTTTTCTCCTGGAGTCTCCAAGGAAACCCATGAAGACCAGAAAGGATGTTGGGTAGGTAACTGCACAGATGTCCTAAAGCAAACTCCCACCTGTTCAGTTAGTTCCAGAACCCACTTAGCTGCAGGGAGGAGCTACAGTGAGGCGCAGGATGGTTGCTTGCACAAGGTCCCATTTCCAAGAATATGTGTGTAATTTACCATAAATTTGAGGTGGTGAGATTTTATAAATAAAATTGAGGTTAAAACGTACTTCAAATGGTACAGGTGGGTATTATTTAATTGAGAGATTCAGAGTCCAGGACATTAATTCTACCTCAGTTCTTCCCAAACAATGCCATGTTTCTGTTTATTCATCTTAAAAATGTAAGAGTCCTAGACGTACAAATTTGGTGGAAAGGTGCTTCTGAGAGAAGGAACAGAAGAAAAAAGATGCCACCCTCCCCTTCCAAGGAAGTTTTTAGATTTGAATATGAGGATGCATCACAAGCTGTTTAAATCTCAGGAAAGTCTTTTTTTATAAAGATCCTGCTACTGACTAGTAGATTTTTAAAATTTGCATATTGATCAGTACCATATTTTGTTCATTCTACTCCCAATTCAAATAAGATGACTACAGAGGTGATGTTTGGTTCACTTGTCCTTGCGATTCCAAAATAAAGCACACAATCATTTGAAATAACAATATTGGAACAATTAAAAATTTCCAAATTCTGCGTGACAAAGCTACATTCATTCAGGCTGTACATTCTGTGTTTGTTGAGTTTTTTTGTTTTGTTTTGTTTTGTTTTTGATTCAGCCTGTGGAGCAGGCCTATTTAACAGCCAGTGTTACTAAAATTCTACATTTATCCTCACATTGTGAAAACTAGATTTGTTTTTCCCCTGAGGACTCTTAAATCTACAGCCTGTTTCCTCCTGTCTGTGAGCAGAATTTGGATAAATACTCGAAAAGAAAAAGAACAAAGGACATACCAAAGAATTGGATGGTGTCATTCAGCTGTTTAGAAATGGAAATGATATTCACACTGTGTTCATTTTAACATCTCCATAAAATGGAATAAATGAATCCAATATTTAATGAGTTGTTTTAAAATGCCAGTCACTTGCAGACTCCAAAAGGCTACTGATCCATTTTATATAACTCTCCATTTTGAAAAGACGATGCTGTCCAATTGGCTATTTGATGTGACATTAGAAAATCATGCATACTTTTCCTGTTATTTATTTTACTCTTCACTCTAATCATTCTACATGTTCTGAAATTCTTTATATATCTAAAGATGTTTTCTGGAGAAATCTCTTTAGCATATCATGACATTTGACATATTTCATAGGATTGTTATGATCATCCGAGTAAAAGGCTTCACAATTAGACTTTGGTTTTAATGTAAACTGCACAGAAGTTAGAATTGTTCTGACAACACAATTCAACCACTGCACAAATTATATTATTGTAATATGAAATAACACACTTCAAGGAATCAGTAGATACAATCTATTATCCAAGACTGCTGCAGAACTCATAGAGTGATACAAATGAGAAGAAAGTTGGGAAAGGGGTAAGACACTTAAAGCTTTTTCGGAAGACAAAACAAAAGGAGAACAACATCGACTTTCTACATTTATCTATAAGGCAGATGGTCAAACTTGCTATACAAGATCTAAAATACAATGCTTATTAAGAGGTAGAAAATACCAGATAGTATTTAAGAAAAATATGTTGAGTTATTTAAAACAATCGTTATCTCGCTAAACTTTTAGAAAGTCAAACTCAGGTGTGCATTGCACTGTATGTTTTTTACTAAACAGGGACATTCCATACTCCATAGACCTGTGGTCAAACAGGAGGCCACAAAGGAGTCGGATGGGAAGCAGGAGATCACTTTTTAATTCATTAAGGACTGAGCTTTCTCACTAAGGAAAAAATTCCTGCTACCTCTCTGGGATGTCATTAGGACTTTAAATTAATGGGGATTTCTCGAATTAAGGACAATTTCTCTGAGCAACAGGGTATAATTCTGTATATAAGGCAATAAAACTAAAGGGAAGGACAAACTCAAATACTTCCCCTTCAAGAAGGTGCCAGATCCATCTTATGTAAAAACATACAGTCCACTAATCTTATACCATCCTCTTAACCACTAAAATGCAAATGAAAATATTCTTCAGAGTCCAGCACCAGCAGAATTGCTCATCTGAGCAATTCAAGAGCTGTCTGAGGCAAAAAAATATCTTAGCTACCAAATTAAACTTGGGTAGCTTACACATGGGTGAGTAACCCTGGGTGTTCTTATTTCTTAATGCACCTGGGAGAGTTTTATTTATTTTTCTCCAACATAATTTTATAAGGCATAAATTTAATTTGAATTTTCCCTAACCTTTGGAAAAGTAGTGTTAAAGCTTCTTTTTTTTTTAAACCCACACATTAACATTCAATTCTTTCATTTTTATTAAATAGTTTATATATAAAAGGAAATATTGAGGTGTTCTGTATTCATATAAACAATCATGGTAACATTTGAAATTGTAAAGAAACCCACAGAAGAAAATATGTACTTAAATACTTACAATGCTAAGCTAAGCACAAGTGATCATTCTAGATAATATCTTTTAAATAGATAGACACAGTTTGTGCTGCTTCTAGGAGCAAACACAGGAGAAGTACCCTCACAAATCTTTCATTTTCTTTACTTTTTTTTTTACCACAAGACAGGATGGTCCAGTTTGGAAAAACCAAGATCTTTTCTAAGTTCCAAATAGGTGCCGTTGCTCACCCAAGAGTCGTCACTGGATTTCCTGTGGAAGAGGAAAGAGTTTCTTGCAGACTCTAGAAAGCATTCTCATATTTTCTCTCTCTCCCTCCTCTCCATCCCCTCCTTCTAAGGATAATTCTCACATGCATTTGACCTCCCTGATTGTCCAGTACTGGAACTGTGGGGAGCCTGGGAGCCTGGAAACCATTTTGTAATTTCTGCCCTTAACTTCTGAAACTTGGAGGCTGCGAAAAGTGGTGCTTCTGAGAGAAGGACAGGTGGAGGGAGGACGTGTGGTATATAAAACATGGCCGGAATGACAGCCACCACTCTGGGGATGACCTGTGTAATCTCTACACATCCACGAGGAGGATCGTAGGATGATAAGTTAACATTAAAACAAAATAAAGCTAGAAAGGATTGGAAGCCACAAGAGTCTGCAGAGAATGGTCTTGATTTACTACTTTTTTGAATAGTTAATATACTGCATAGATTGGAATTCAAAAGACAGGAAAGAAAACATAGCTTTTCAAAGTTCTCTTTCTCGTCCTATCTCCCAGCCTCCCAATTCTTCTACTGGAAACACAGTGATGTTATCAGCTTCATTCTGTCAGAAATATTCCATGCACACACATATACACACTCCACCCTCTCCAGGTTTTACATAATGGTAGTATTAGACAGTAATCAGCACCTGGAGTATTTGACATAATATATATTGGAGATCATTTCTCAGCAAACTGCAGTCCAAGGATCAAATATAGCCTTCCACCTAGATACATATTTTTAGGGCCTCATGCATGCCAGACAAGGATCCCACCACTGAGCTACATTCCTAGCCCTGATGGTCTTTGAAATAATGTTTTACTGTGACACAGCCATGTGCATTTGTTCAGTATCATCTGTGGTTGCTTTTATGTGAAAGCTGGGTTGAGTAATTGCTACTGAGACCTTATGGCCCATGCAAAGCCAGGAATATTTATTATTTGCTCTTTATAGGAAAATTTGGTGACTCCAGCCATAAGGGATTCCTGATTTTTCTTTTAAAGAGTTGTAAGATGTTCCACACTTTTCTAAGTGATGCCCTACTGGTGAGCAGTTGGGTTGTTTTCAAACTCTCACCATTATAAATAAAGTATATGTTATTTTACACAAGTACAAGTATAGGTTTCATTAAAAAATTCCTGTAACTAGCATTGCTGGGTCAAAGAGCATGTGTATTTATAGTTTTCACTGATATTATCACATGTTTAGGAGCAAAAGTGGAGCACAGTTCCCCCACATTCTCAGGAACATAGATTTTTATCACACTTGCTTCCCTATCCCAATAGAGGGACACGTTTCAAATGAGCCAGTCTGTGTGTCAGATAGTTCACTGTGGTACCAAGAGGCCTGATTTGGTCTGAGCTGCAGTTTCCACTTGGAATTTCCAGTGATATTTTCACTATTCTTTGA